GTTTAAGTTTTAGTTTCTTTCTTTCTTTTTTTTTTTTTTTTTGTTCAGCAGGGCAGTAAATAATAAAAATGCTGCACAAAACCAGATGTTGTATATATCTATAGGGCTTTAGAAAGCACAAAAAGCATTTTTATGTTTGCTCTGTAGTATTTAAGCTTTGAAAAAGTGTGTTTGTGTGGATGAGAGGACGCAGCATCGATCATACAGAACCCAGCTGAAGCACTCTCCTGTACCACAAGTCAATAGTGCTTAGATTTTGCTGGGCAGACAGCGCTGCTAATGAAAAAGATCAATACTAATGATATATTAATACATCCACTGGCCCAACATCACTCATGCTCTAATCCCACCTGCAGTAAAGGCCTGGGTTTCATGAAAAATGGCCTATCTATTTTTCATCCATCTCTTTACCATCTATCACGCAGAAGGCCATTACACTCTTCGATATCTTTCAGCTTTGATTCGCCCCCTTGGACTCTCTGCATAGACAAACAGTGACGGAACCGCATTAAGACACGCCGAGAGAGGACAAATAAGTGTTTACGCACAGCAAATGTTCCTTTTGTCTCTCGGTGAGGTCATAAGTGATTTTGAAGTCTCTAAATGCATTGTTCGTCCTTTTGAAATGAACCTGGCCCACTTTCCCAGAAAACGCTGGCTTTCTGCTGATCCAGACTGCTATTGTGCTGGTTTTTATCCAATTACAGATGATGGAGTTTGAGATTTGACCACAGCTATGTGACCATTGTACAGCGTGATGGCTCAAGGTACGATCCGAGCTCAAGTATTATTCGCTTTCCAAAATAAAGGCGACCAAAACACGGGGCTCAAAAACAAGCTCTGAACGAAGATCAGACTTCAGTTCACACAGCTAGGTTTGTTTGCACTGCAGTATTATTTATATATTACACTATTACAAATAAAGGTTCTGATGGTTCCGTGAAGAACATCCATAGAACCTATGCATTCCACACAAGGTTTTTAGTGGAAAAGATTCTTTAGATTATTCAAATGTTCTTTTCTGTAAGAGACAATGGTTATTTTAAGATCTTTTCACTGAAAGTGGGGGAACAAAAATGGTTCTTCTACAGCATCATTGTGAAAAACTCTTTTTGGAACTTTTATTTTTAAGTGTTTATAATTTGAAAGTTTGGAGTTAGTAAGAATTTTTAAAAGAACTTAATACTTGTATTAAGCAGGGATGCATTAAATAGATCAAGTGTGACAGTAAATACATTTATAATGTTAAAAAGCTGTTCCTATGCATAGTGGAGTTTAATATTTAACCTCAGCTATGTGCGGCGTCGTACAATATGTGACGCGAAGGCTAGAGGTTCGATCCGAGCTCAAGTGTTATTATTCGCTTTCCAAAATAAAGCCAGTGCAGCTCGAAAACAAGCTCTGAGCGAGGGTCAGACTCCACACTGCTGGGATGAGAAAGCATGAATTATAGAATAATTACAGGGTTTCATTTTTCCACCGCTCACAGTGACTTTGAGGGAAAAACATTTGGCCCGTGAGTCACAGATCGCCTGACTGCAATGAGTAAGAAATTTGATTTTCATAAGCAGCCAGATCTATTTAAAAAAGAGACCTTGGCATGATTGATTTTGGAAGAGAGGATGAAGAGTGTGTAAAGGAACGCCTGAGGGTGTAGATTAGGAGGGAGGAATATAAAGGCGGCGGTTCATAAGGGGGATCTTTCTGGTCATGTGCTGCCAAGCTGTGCCTGAGAGCTCCCAGAGGGCTTTGCAGCAGGGGAGTGGGTGGGCGGGGCAGTGAGGAATCTTGGGAGAGAAGTCTGGTCTCCATTACAGAGGTCTGAGAAGAGCGAGCTGGGGGTCTATAGCGCCGGTAGAACGTTTTTTAGCGATTACTGTATAAGACCCACAGCCCAAAGTTGCTTATAGAAGCCTGAAATCTCACTCGTTTATAGAAACACACACCTACAGTACATGTATCCACTAACACATACAGACACAGTAAACACACACACACAGAGTAGAATACATAAAGACACAGAGATGCTCTTTCATGCACATGCTCTTGTGAAACACACACTCACGTACACACACTTACAGACAGACACGGTTTAGTGCATGACACAAGGATAGAGAGAAGCAGAGGAGACAGACCCTGGTCCTTGAAAGCCATCAGTCCCAGATTTTTGATGCCACAGGGTCCTAAAAAACACAATTTGGTTTTCATCTTAAGAGTGCAGTTTGGATTGACTGTAGAATGATTATATTTGAGGACTTACAATGCAAAGACACTTCATGCACTAAGCCATGAGTAAAGCACTTCAATAGCTAACACGTACACACAAACTCACATATATGCATGCAAACATACAAAATCCTAAGAAACACACATGCCCTTCTTCATTATGCCTTTGTTCGGAATGATTTATAGTAAACAGATAATCAAGGCAGCAGTTCACTACATAAAATCCTAAATTGTTGTCTTACCTCCTGAGTTATTAAATGACTGAGCTGTGCCATCGGCATCTGCTAAATGACAAGTGATCAAATCAGTATTGCCCCAGACAAGCTGTTTAGCTACGTCAAGAGCTCTCAAGACATCAGGGAACAGACAGAAATGTTGTTGAGGTGGCATTTATTTACCTGCTCCTGCAGTGCAATTTTGAAAGGAGACAGAATTCACAACTACTGTTTTCATGTAAAATGTCAAAGAATTTCAGAGATTTTGTTGAAATGCTGTTTAGTAAATTCTTACACGACTTACAGAATTAATGGAACCCTTTAGGTTTAACTGATTTTATTACCAAATCAAGGATGCTAAAAAAAGAAGAAGAAATAATTACATTATTTCCATGACAATTAATCACATAATTAAAAAATATATTATTCTCATTATTGTAATATATAAATATATATAATCAATAGTTTAATATAAAAAATATTTAGATATCACTTATACTCTGATTGTTCTTTTAAAAACTGCAATTTCTTAAAATATTAATCATCTTTGACAATAATAAGAATTACAAAAAATCCCTCAAAAGTCAAATATCCGGATGCATTACAGTAATTACATATTTTGGGGGAAATGTGCTTAATCGTCATGAATAAATAATGTGACATTGCAGAAATATCCTAATAATAGGCTTCATTTCCTTTGTCCCAAATATTATGCTTTTATTTTGGGGTGAGATATGAGCTAGACATGATTTTGTGAGATTCACCCTACCACTTTAGCTTGACAAGAAGAAAAGATGCCGGTGGCACCACTTAATCATCTGCCTGCTCGGGAGCTACTAAAAAAATGGTATTTTCAGTGAACTGCTCCTTAAAGCATCAAATATTTTGGCAGTGGCTGTCAATCAAAATATTAGCAAGAGGAATTAGGTAAAGATTATGCATAAAAAGCACATAAAGAAGTATTGTACATGCACAAGTTGAAAACACATGTACACATATGCACACACATAGTATACAAACACACACACACTCAGACGAGAACTCCTTTAAACATAAGAACATATTGGATTTTCAGCATGCACTAACTGATCGAAACTTCACACTCTCATACACACATCCTCACTCACTCCAGCTCTCACCTCCATATCCTCACGGTGCGAGCGATCCCTGTCCTCAAAATCACGGGTCCTTCTGCGGGCATCCTCAAAGGCTGCCTGGGCTAGAGCATCCTCCTGCTGTATAAACACACAAAAAGATAGGAAGCCAGGCAGTGGTCAGTCATTTCTGATGTATGTAAGGCACGGAACAGTTTTATAGCACATGGTGGTTTGTCTGTAGTCTGTACCTGTGCCCTCTCATCATCATATTCCAGACAACCCATCCCATCCAGACGCTGAAGATCAATCCAGCCTTTCCAGATCACACACACTCCATTCAGGATCATAGGTGCCTTCAGATAAACCTGCACACATACACACACACATAGTTGTAATGCTTATTATGACATATGCACAGCACAATAGCAATGAATATTGCAAAAAGCGAAAAAAAAAAGAAAAAAAAGATGAGAAAGAACCTGAAGACTTTTGTTGAATTTTCAGAGTACATTTAGAAGGGAAATTACAAGAAAAATGGTCTAAGGCCCGAGTGATGTGAATCAATGGCTGCGTTTACACTGGCACAAAAAATCCGATTTTTCGCTCACATCTGACACAGATCGGAATTTGTTGCACACGTGTAAACACAAAAACCTGCACGAGATCCGATTTTTTTGCATCCGATCTGAGCCACTTCCAAATGTGGATTTTAATCGGATACACATCTACGGTCATTTAAAACCCGAGGGTCTACCATGTGCATAGTAAAGCGATCACTGCAGACAATCCTTTTGGGTGGGAATTAATGTAAACACAGATATCGGATACCAGTCGTGTCTAAAGTGAATGTAAACAGACGTGCTAAAAAATCGGATATGGTCAAAAGATCGGATCTGTGCACTAAGACTTGCAGTGTAAACGCAGCCAATGACATTCCGCACATTTGTTTAGTCCGTATCAATTAATTAAAAAAATATGTTAAAAATGTTAGACCATTTTTTAAATATATGTATATTATATAAAAAATAAAGAACATGTAAAAAAAAATACAGAAATATGGAGGAAGATAAACAGAAAATACACCCTAACTCTCAATTAATAAAAGTCTTAAACTATCAGATCCTTTCAATATTTATAACAAGTTTAGGTTGTAAAATGCCCCCCCCATATAATGTATTATTATTATTATACATTATTAAATTAAATGTATACTTATAATAAATAAAATATATTTAAAAACCTAAAAATAATGATTAATAGGTTGTCCGTGTTCATGATGTAACTAACAAACAACCAAATAAATAAATACTCTTTATATTTAAAAACCTGAAAATAATGATTAACAGGTGTGCCCTGCCTGCACATATTCTAGATGTGAGGAAAAGACTACATTTCTAAGAACTTGGCACATGCATTTTAAACTTTTAAAAGAATTGTCCTTTTCTTTATCTCACACGCTCTTATTGTCATTGATTCTTCTATAGACTATTATATACCACAGATCTAACTAACTCTCCAATAAATCCACCTACACAGACACAACAAGCCTTTGGAACAGGTGAAATGCCATAACCACCTACTCCACAGTCGTAGCCGCAATTGAAAACCCCCTCTCAACGTCACACCCGGCCGTACAATGGTTCATTTGAATTGTAAAACACTTTGTGAGTTATTTAGTGGAAGTTACTGCTGGGAATGGCCTCAAAACTGGATACATACACACATGTAACCATTACAACTTTTTCTGTTTCTTCCTGTCCTACCTCAGTCTCTGCCCAGCCAAAGAGTATAGGGCAGCCTCCAATGTTTGCTTCCTGTGATGAGAGTGTTTATTTATAGAGGCCAGCATAGTAGAGAGTAAGGGTACACCGATGCAGAGACAGGCAAAGCCTGTCTGAATTTATTTATACTGAGCATGGCCAACGAATGCAGCACGGGCGAACACATGATTGCATCCGTGTGTGAGACTCAGACGATGGGGGGGGGGCCGGGCCGGGGGTCTATGTATAAGACAAGGTGGACAAAGAGTGAGAGAGATGTTGAGAATGTGGAGACAGGGGTATATGACTGTCTGTCTGGCTCGGAACCACAGGAATATCACATCTCTGCCACTGAGGAATCCAGGCTGAGACAAAAGTGTGCAGTCTGTCGGTCTGTGGGTGCTGTTTATTTATGTAACTGCAGTGAAAGAGGCCAGCTATAAATGAATACACATATGCACGTATCCTCAGCATTACCCGCCAAAACCAAGGAGCCACCCGAGTCACCAAAAAAGAGCGAAGTTCCACCTTGCTGCTCCAAAAAGCAGAGGAACACAGGAACACTGCAGTGTGTTGTTGGATACTCAAAGTCCCCCACTGGGCGCTGGTGACTGCTGGAGCGACATGCCAGACAAACACACTCCGCCAAAGCAGACACAACATGAGCTTTGTCTGACTTTACTGCCGTCCTTTAAGCATCCGTGTGTGTGGAGGAACTGCTTTTGGAGTCAGTTTAGAGAGTAAACGGCTCTCTGCCCTGGTTTCATACCCACTAAATTCACCACATTGATGTGAATGGTGTCTAGCATAAATATAGCTCACCATTTCACTTATCAAAAAAACTCACTTTTCCTATTCATGAAAAAAGGCACATGGTTTAATAAATATGCGCTAATGTTTATTGTTTATAATGTTTACTATACACTAAGTTTGTGGTTGGTAAAAAATTTTTTAGAGTTTTTGAAAGAAGTATTTTATTTCATTTATTTCATCCAAAATACCGTAAAAATACAGTGAAATATTATTACAATTTAAAATAACTGTTTATATCTTAATATATTTTAGAATATAATGTATTCCTGTAAAAGCATAGCTGAATTTTTAGCAGCTATTACAGTCTTCAGTGTCACATGATCCTTCAGAAATCATTCTAATATGCTGATTTGGAGCTCAAGAAACGTTTCTTATTAACATCAGTGTTTAAAACTGCTTAACAATTTTGTGAAAAGTGTGATACTTTTTTCCCCACAGGATTCTTTGATGAATACAAAGTTCAAAAGAACAGATTTTTTTTGGAACAAAGTATTTGCCATCACAATTGATCAATTTAACACATCCAAGATGAATAAAAGTAATATTTTCTACAGTAATGTATATTGACACTTAATCACATGACTGTTAATCTAACCAAAACCCAATACACACTGTACCGCAGAAGAGAAGTAACAAATCTACCATACAAATTTTATGTGAATAAACAAGTGCCAACTGTGCAAGATGGTTTATGCCACAAGCTTTCAACTGAAGATTGTTAAAGGCCACTTTAATGGCATTAATAGCAAATAAATATTTGCTACTGTACCTTTAAGACTTTTTGTAAATAAAGGTAAATGGTGTGCATTAAGGTGTTTTGACTCTCAAAATACAGAATTGATGTTGATTTATAAATGTGAGTTATGGATCCATCAATAATGATTATTTCCAATGTTTGCAGATGAAAGAAAGTTATTAACAATATTGAAGCATCGTTAAAGTATACTCCTGTTACTCATGTTCCTGTTACTCATTTTTTACTAAAAGCAACAACTTTGTCAAATATGCAAGTGAAGTCACCACATATGTATAAACACCAATGTAGCTCTTGCCTGAAGTTATTTACTGTTGTGCAACCACTAAAAGGCCACTACACTGATGAAATGCTTACCAAATTCAAAAGATAAACCACAACTGTGCTACAGGTCTAAATAACAAAGACACGAGACAACGGGAGTCTCATTAGAATCAATGATTCAATAAACCACTACTGTTGGAGTTGTGTTGTAGCAGTAGCGCATGCTTACAGCACATTAGAGCTGTGGTGCTCCCACAGGGATACAGATTTGAATCCTAAAATAAATAAATCAGTAAATAAAAACAAAATCCAGCTTATCGCTATTTAATTTGTTTTAATGTTTTATGGCTGCTGCTAAAAAATGTAAGCTTTTAAACTTTCAAAAAGTATTTCCATGTGTATAAACACCTCATGTTAAAACATGAAGTCCCTAAAAGTGATGTGAAAAAAAATGTCAATGTTTTCACACCTGAGGAAACGGCAGCTTTCCTGTCAGCAGTGAAGGGCTGTTCTGACTATGTTCCCTTTTGAAACAACCTCACTGGAACGGTTTCCTAAGCACAGCTCCGTCTGCCTCTTCCACCTCCACACCTGCCCTCCTGAAACTCCTTCCCTATGTTTCCTTACAGGATGTGCCGTAGGCTGTGATCTGTGTCCCCCTCAGCAGTAAAACGCAGGTAGGAAAAATAAAGCCTGCTCAGCTCTGCGGCAGTTTAACTAAACATCAGTGAAGTCAACGATCTGAATGAAATCATATCCTCAGCCGCACTGTGATTTTAACTGAAAACATGCCGGACTGTGAATACTCAAGTAGAGATAATACTAGGAAAATTATACAATGTAATTAAAGAGCAAATTTCCAACAAACTGCTGAGGAATCAAAAAAACATAATCTTCCAAACATAGCAGAAATATGATATCTCAAAGGGACGAATGGAAAATCGCCTGTTTCTGAGAAGCACGGCACAATGGGCCATACATCTGAAATAAATACCGAATGCGAATCTGAACCTATATGTATTTTTATCATTTCAGATTGTTTTGCTCTCTCATCTGTCCAACTCAAACAGTTTCTTCTCCCAACAAATACAGGCCTTATAGCCATTAATAACATATTTAAAAAGCCTTCCTGGGTTTCATCCAGAAAGAACATTCATAACTCCATCAGCCTAAACACACAGTTTTCACTGGGGCCGAGCCAACAATGAAGACATATGAGAAAAGCAGTTCTCTTTCTCTCTTCCTCTGCTGTTTTTCATTGGGTATTTCTAGAAGGTGATGAGTAGTCAAGCCACCCCCTGAGGATTGGTGAAGAACTAGGTAAAAGAGCTGGGATGGATGGGTAGTTACATTCAGGTTGTGGTTCGCTTTTGTGTTTGTGAATTGTTTATGTGATGTTTCGGTCCTAAAGTAGTTCCTCTAAGAAGACTGCAGGTCTTTGTTTCTTCATAGTTAAAATCGACATGAACTGCTTTTTGCAACCCATTTTACTTGTGCAATGTGATGTATTTTCAAGTGAAACATGACAATAAACAAGAAAATATGTTGGGTGGGACTTGATTTTTTCCCATCGGGAATTAATTAGATGGGAAAAGTGGGCGATACATAGCAGAATGGAGCCAGACCAAACGCAAGTTTGCTAAAACTTGAGGATAAATGTCCATTCAGAAGAAGTGCAAGTTAAAACAAACAATCATTCATTAAAAAAATCAATTATTCATTCATTAAAAATTACAATCAGACATTAAAAAACTATTATTATTGACTAAACTAA